CCATCTAGCATTACGTGGTGCAAGGTTTTAGTCATGTGCGGGGAACAAAGGTCCCTGAATACGTTGCGTAAATTAATGTTCCTCCACATGATTATGAGACGCCGTAGCGAAGGGCTCCAGTAATTTCGACCACTTTAGGTTCTTTAACGTGAACCCGAATCTGAGCACACGGGCCTACAGTCTTTCCGCCTCCATCAAAAATGCAGCCACCGATGCTGGGATTCGATCCCGCGACCTGTGGGTCAGCCGCCGAGTACCTTAGCCACTAGACCACCCCGGCGGGGCAACATTTACCAGCTTCCCTAAGCAATACTGACAACACGACTCGGAGTTCACAGGACCAGGGCCACTGCACCAAGATGAGAGACCATTTACAAGCAAAGGCCCAGTGAGATCTTTCGAACCACTGAAGTAGGGTTTCAGTACTCCCGGGTTTATTCTTTCAAACCTACTTCTACCGACTGGCATGCCCCTGAAGACCGTGCGTGTTCCTAGTAAATCTGTTAGATCCGGTGTGTATTGTCGGAGTCGTTAACCCGCAACACACGAAAATCAGTGAATGGGCCGGATTAGATTTTGGCAGGCTCGCCAATTTTCACGGATTCGGGTGGCTGTGGATCAAAGACCGAGACAATACACGCATAAAGGCACAACATAGTTCCCAGAGGGAAATGCATGACATTTAGAGGCAGCGGGAGCAGAATTAGGCCGGACAAAAAACTAATAAAATTCCTACATGCCCAATTAAAAAGGTCTCACTGAATCGTTGCCCATAGTCAATCTCCATGATCGTCAACGATCCCGGCCCTGTAGCTTCCGAAACCACGCCACCGCGCTGCGCCACTCCACATCCTCAACGTGGCCGACGAACGACGCTATCCATGCCACCACCAGTTCATCGTATGCTGACGCCATCAGATGGTAGAGCAGCGAACGTGCCAAAGGGCCGGCAGATTAGGCCCAGCGGTGCATACAACACCCAGCGCCTAGAGACGGTGAAGCCCATTGGTGCCGCCATCGGTGACCCGCCCTGAAGGAACCTGGCGCCAGGAACTTCACCGATAGTAGCGCACGGCTGTGGAGCCCGTAGAAGCTCCACCTTCACTAATCGAGGTCTCATTCCACCTCCCAGGACGCCGGTGCAATGGACTTTAGTGTCCGAGTCCTTCCGCTCACGCCCTGGCGCGTTTGCCGGCAAAAAGACCCTTCATTTGCAGGCACACACCGAGAACGCCTGCGCGTCTCTCCCCTTCCCCCCCGTAGCACGGTCTACGTGCCTTACACCTCTGGAACGCCATTTCTTAGCCATGACCAGCGTCAAGCGGTGCCACGCAGAATTTACAACGCCTTCAGCATGTTAACGACCACGCCACGCGAAGACGACAGGTGACTACTCGGCAATTGCTCAGACTGACACCCATCAAGCACGACAAGTACACAGAGCGGCGCACCATGACGGATCACCGACAGCTAGAAGCTTCCCAAAGCGATACCGACAACACGTCTTTAAGTCTACAGGGTCAGGGCCACTGTCCCAAGCTGATAGACCAATTAAAAGCAAAGGCCCAGTGAGATGTTTCAACCCACTGAAGTAGGTGTCTAGTATTCCCGGGTTTATTACTTCCAACTTCTACCTACTGCCATGCCCTGGAGGGCTATGCACGTTCCTAATGAATGTGTTGTGTAATCGACTGTGGATTGTCGGAGTCCTTAACCCGCAACCCACGGAAATCAGTGAATGGGCCGGATTGGATTTAGGCAGGCTCGCCAATTTTCATAGATTCGGGTGGCTGTGAATCAAGGACCGAAACAATACACGTAGAAAGCTACAAAATATTTCATTGCGGGAAACTTATGACATTTAGTGGCAGCAGGAGCAGAATTAAGCCGGACAAAAACTAATATGAAACTCCAACGTGCCCATTTTAAAAAGGTCTCACCAGATCATTGCCTATAGTCGATCTGTGCTCGCCACAAAAACCACAACCCCGGCTCTGTAGCCTCTAAAGCACATGGTCAGCCCCGCTTGAAGGTGCAAGCAAATGTCCGGGATCCACCACGCCGCGCCACTCCGCGTCCTCAGCGTAACCGGTAAACGACTCTATCCGTGCCACCGCGGATTCACCGTCCGCTTCAGGGCAGCGGTGCATACGGTACACGGTGCCTAGAGATTGCATGGCCCACAGGGGCCGCCATCGGTGACCTGCTCTGAAGGGGCCTAGCACCAGGAACGCTGATGGTAGCACGCGGCTGCGACGTTCCAAGAAGCTTGAGCCACACTAATCGAGGTACACTTCCACATCCCAGAACGCCCGCTCCTAGGTCTTCCGAAACCTAGTCCTTCCCCTTACACCCTAGTGCATCCGCCTGCGAGACGACCCTTTATTTCCAGACACCGACAGTGCCTGCGCGTCCCTCTCCTTCCCCCAATGCCAAGATCCACGTGACTCCCGCCACTGGAACTGCCCCAAGCAAGCGCCCTTGCCGACTAAGCTCTCCACGTCGTATACAACCTCCGAGAAGGGTTCCAGCCACAAGTGCTCAGGTGGCGGCTGCATGCCTCACCCGAACAGAAGAAGCCACTCATTCAGAGCCGATGTGTCAAGAGCCCCCTGCCATTAGCCACCGTGATGAGGACGGACGCATACTAGTACTGTACTCGTTAACTTAAACACATTACCGGAAACAGCAAGTGGTGTGCCCTGTAATACCGGAGAGAGCAAAATGGGGACCTGTAGTGCGCATCAGACTGAACCTCACGCTCATGAATCAATAGACAAAATGCATTCAGGAACCGTTGCCCACTAGACACGAGGAACTTTTAGCACCACGTAATGCTGGAGAGCGAGGACTACCTAGGAATTGGTGGCGGCCTTGGTGAGAGCTCAGATTATTTCACAGTCACCGTCTCTTACATCACCCAGTGCTGCCTCGAGGATGTCTTGAGGGGTACTCTGAAATCATCAAAAGAATTTTCAGGAGGATGCTCAAGTTTTGCACAGCACCGTATTGTAGGCATTGGACATACACAGAACTAAAGAAGCGGAGCAAAGGTCACCTCAGTGAGCCAAAAAAGAAATACTTGGTTCAAGTATATGTTAAGTGCTCCATGTAATACAGCAATGAAAAAAAATTCGAGTTTAGCAAACATCGAAAAATCACTGTTTAAATATATCACCTAACTTTTGTGGGAGAGCGTTCTTATGAACACTGTTTTAGGAACATTTGACGTGCTCCATATGTAGATAAACGCCTTGCAATTTGCGACACGCAGTGAGCAATCAGCTGCAGAGGAGCGAATGGAGAGCTGCGAGGAGCTAGTAATGCATAATATCGTTCAGCAAGGTCAAAATAAAAGCAGTTTTTTTTTGTGCATAGCATGTAGCCGATTTATCGTAGATATTACGCATCGCCACATGCCGCCAACACACTTGAGATTCACTAGCGAAGGGTAATTGTTAGAATAAAACGTCCAAATGCTACCACACTTTTGTCGTTTCTAAAACCAGTAGTGTGTATTTTTGATAATGGCTTGTTTCGATCGCGGTCACGGAACCTGAATCATAGGAGTGCAGTGAATTGTTCATGGGTATAGTATGGTCATGGCTGCGGCAACCGTTGCTATGTGCGCAGTTACGGATTGTGTTCCGTTTACGAAGCAACTCCACGTTGCTGACAGTGCAAGAAATGAGGATAGCGTAATATGCTTGCAAGCCATCGTCCCGTTAAATATTTGGGTCCATGTTGCCGCGATGGCACGCCACTCGCTAGCGGCACAGTACTGCTGCAAAGCTGCCAGGCAGGCTCGGTACCAGTTATTTCGGAGTGCCCTGCAGTTAATACGTCGATTCTAATTCGCGCTGTTTTCTGTAGTACGCACAGAGCATCGTTGGCCCATCATTACGCAAAGCAATGTTGCGAACCGGAGGTAACGAAGTTTTAGCTCTTCCTATTGTTCGGGGAAAGTACTTCGGTCAGGTATACATTCATTTGACGATCGAGAGTTCATTCGGTGAAAGCAACACGGGGCGTGCATCCATGCGTCCTATATTTTCCTATGAGTGTTTAGGGGTTGTCTCCCCTGCCGCAGCCATCTTGGATTACACGGCGTATCACCTGCAGCCCGTGAGCATTGAAGATGAGCGTTCATTTTAAGGAATCCTAACCCTCTGATTAGACAACTGGTGTACTGGTGCGCTGACGATTGATAGTCTGCTTGAACGGAATGCTATTACGAAGACTGCGCGTGACATGATAGCCAGAAAACCCTTATTACAAAGAATGCGAGTGGGACGCAAGATTTCGGAACTCTAACGCAAGAAAAACATTACTTGCTATCTTGGTCGGCAACCCTCCATTTCCAACAAAAGCCCATTAATAGAATTGTCCCAAGAATTGCCTCCATGGAGGTGAAGCCAACTACAGTTACTGCTTTTTCGTTATTGTTTATTTTATTTTTTGGAATACAAGAAAAATGATACAGAAGCAAAAGACGTTTCATACGCCTGACAAAGGCCTAATCACCTGCAGTTGATCACAGATGCACGTTTTTTTTTCAGATACAAAAAGCAACAAAAATAAAATGCCGTGTACCACATGTGCGTTAACAAAAATACAGTAATAGAAAGCAAGCAGCACATAATATAATTGACATAATAGCAATACGCATATCCTGAACAAATTTTAGGATCGTACATCCTAATAAAACGACCTTTCCTAACACTCATAAATATGTTCAGAAGTTACGCTGAATATGTTCAGCAGTTATTCGGTCAGGAAGTTCAAATGAGTTATTACTGTCAAAATGAAACCGAAACAGCGAAAACGAAGCCACAAGAGCGCTTCGCCACTCCGAGTACGAAGACTCGATTCGTATACTACCTTTTATCGTCATGGTCATTGAACGATTGCAGCGCCAGAGTTTCTACTATAGTTAATTTTAAGAAACTATGCTATACCTAGTGAACCACTTTTATAAAGCACACGAACACCTCCAACAGGTGCGCAAGCGTTCATGTAAAAAGTTCATGGAAGCGTTGATCAAAAGTTTGGAAGGTGCGAAATATTACTGCGTGATTCACTCATTAACTTCAGTCTTTAGCTGTGACTGCCTGTCTACTATTTCCACCTACGCGCTATTAAATCTGCTGAGTGGCTCAGAGGCTTCAGTTTTGTTATCGTTTAGTGCCAGCACGCCTTCGGCATAAATAAACGTATGATCTCGTTCCCTAAAAGGTGCAGGAGAAGTTCATCATTCATGTATGCATAAAAAAATCAATGGTAATTGGCACAGCTGAGTAAATTGCAATGTTCTGGCGATTAAAGAGGGCTAGGAATAACCGGCAATCTCTAGAATAAAATACTTTCACTATAGAATGCGTGCGCGTAACTTTCCTTGGCACTAAAAAAAACAGGTTGGAAACAGGACAACAAAAAAAGTACACCCCAAACGCTTACCCACAACATTCACGTGTGTGAAAACGTATGTACGAAACTGGGGCGCATCTCGGATGTCGCTAACAGGCATTGAAAGGAGAACAACGAAGACGAGTGTGTACGGTCGATTAATAAATCCAAGTTTTTGGTGTTCTGACGATAGAAGGTCAATTGTTTAGAAAGTGCGGTGTTCTTTACGATGCGCCTTTGCCCTCTGAAACTACTCGCGTTCTCTAGTTGGGGGGACTGGGCAGAATTACTGAGCCTTCGAAGATGGAAGTACGTTTGCACAACTGACAATTCAAGGTGCGATGAGACGGCTGTACTCAATGAATTGCAATGCTGTCTGAAGCGTATGTCGAGTGATGAACCAGTACACTGCGGAACAAATGTAACTAAGGTCAAGAGAACACAATCCGCCCCCCCCCCCCCCCCACCCTTATCACTTGATAACTTTCTCTCGGACTGCGCCACTTAAGTATACATCGAATAACTGCAGTATTCCTATATCCTTCATAGGTGAAGGACGTCTATATTCATTTTCGTACAATGCGACTGAGCTGTTTGAAAGCCGATGCAATATGTTACGTGGAACACCTCGCCTCTTTGAGCTGATCAATTGGCAGTTGCAAAATGTCGCACGGGTGATTCGCACCCCGTTTTAATGTTTTCTTTTTCATCACCGAGTGTACGCTTGAAATTTTTCACTGAACAATATTCACATGCGCCGACACAAACTGTGACACCGGCTTCGCTAAATTCAGAATACACAGCCAGCAAACATGCTCCTCCGAGACGAAGCTTTTATAAAAAAAACACAAATTATCCAATTAAGCAAGGCACCTCGCAAGTAGATTTCAGTTCTATTCCTTCGTCTTCAAACACGTTTGAAATGTGGGAACTTTTTGTGTTAAGAACCATGTGCGTTAACTCACGCAGTGATAGACGACAGAGTTTCCTAGTGCTTAGCTTCCGATTGAGCGCCGGTATTTTGCAATAATACAACTGACAGAAAAAATTATTACAAAAAACATTTCTCAAACTGATTTCAGCATCGAGCCCAAGTGCGCTTCGTGTCTCAGCTCTCCAAACAAAGAATAACCATGCTAGAATGTAAACAGAAGCATTGCCTTTTATGTATAGGCGTGGGCATGAGTGTACTGACCACGAAATTCCGTGGTCGAATGCATCGATGCGTTATCAGCGACGACATGCCGGCTGCGGTGTGTATGCGCGCTCCGTCGTATCAGTTGGCCGGTCAGGTCACTCTTTCCGACGAGCTAGTAGCTAACACGACATCAGATTGTCACTGTCGTAGCGACACAAAATTTATGCTGCTTTTTTTACGTAGCGGCTGCAACGGTGCCGGTTCCAGCGCCAAGCTCGCAATGTGATTTATGCAGATTGATTATTAACAAAGCGTACACCAAGTTGAACATTACACCAAGTTGAACATAAGTGAGCCTAGTTAGGTGAATAAGTGTACCCGAACCTAATCAAGCCTAGTTGGGCGCGGTATCACCTGATAAATTTGGGCGTAAGTAAGCTCAAACCCAGTCCAGGTTTTCGTTTTTATGTTAAGCGTAGTAAAGCTACGATGCGCCCAGATGGATTGAGAAAAGTACATGTACAGCCAAATCCAAATATGCCTAGTTGCTCATAGTGCCAATTAATTTAACCGAGCAAAGCTACCCGAAATAAGGCAAACCTTATCGCGGCCAATGAATCCAAGTTGACTTCCCCAGAGTGTAGGGAGACCAAACCCTGGAAGATACTGATTACTTCCTACTGTCAATAGCAATCAAGTGAATATGTCTAATTAGTTTTACAGAAGACTCGTATTAGTTATGGCTGAATTATTAATAACGCAGATAACTAATTGCTCACCGAACATACCTGAGTTACACGTGAACTAATTAGGCTAATTACGAATAAAGTAAGTAATGAGGTAGTGCCAACATAAGCAAGGGAAAATGATTAAGTAAGGTTGATCGTGGCATCGTCAAACAAGCCTGATTTTAATTTGGTGTAAATAAACAAGCTATAATAAAGCACAATAAAAAACAAGTTGAATTTTCATCAGCTCAGAGAATCCAAGCTGAGGAAAATACCAATTATTAATCAGCCAGTCGAGTCTCATTAGGTTAAATAGATCTAATTAATCTCACGTTTAATTTTGCCTAATGCAACAAAGGCAAACTGAGCCGAGTAAACTTAATTGTGTGTGCTTGGCTCATGGGGGGTTCGGAAAGCTGGCCACGCTTCCGTATTTTAATAAGCTGGCATGAATCACAAAGCGAGCGTTTGTTCTGGCTTCGAGCTCGTCGAAGAGAGCGACACGAGAGGGACTGATACGACGGGACGCGCATGCGCACAGCATCAGGTATCTCGTCGCCAGATAGCACATCGATGCCTTTGGCCAAGTGATTCCATTGCCTGTACACTTATGCTCACGCCTAATACTTCACTGTAAAAACTTACGAGCGAAAAATCAGCTATCAGGAAAAACGTCGAACAAGAAGACGACAGCTTGTGAGCAACAAACACATGCCGTCATCGCCACGACATCCACACTGCACGCTGAGCACCACCAGATGTACGAAGTCAATTTTTATGAAAGGAAACAGGAGCGCGTGGCCTGCGCGCTCTGGCGGCTGCTGGCAGTGCGTTTAAGTGGAAGCGAGAGCAACCAAAGCCCCCTTTTCGCGTCAACTCACAGCGAGCAAAGCAACCATTCATTCCCGATATGGAACCAGCGTCAAGATGCCACGCACTACCCCCCCCCCCCCCCTGTCAAGGTGAATAATTCAAGAAGCCGGTAATCACCTTGAAAGGGAGGGGTTTCTATCTTGGAGCTGGTTCCATATCAGCAATGAATGGCAGCTTTGCTCACCGCAAGATGACGCGAAAAGAGGCTGTGGTTGCTCACACTTCCTTTTGAACGGGCTGCCAGCAGCCGTCGGAGCGTGCAGGCAACCGCGTTCTCTTTCATATAAATTTACACGGTACTGTCGACCACAAAAGTTTACAGACCACGCGATTACGTGACGATGGAACCTCTTCGGAACCGTTTCGTTAAATCAGCGTCGATTAGCATTATGTTTTGTGTTCGCCGACTTGTCAACAAATTTTGACGTTTTCCTTTTTAACGCAACACACATTTAGTATCTGCGTCTATATGCTGCAACCTCGGGGCCAGTTCTGTTGGCTAGGGATTCTAAGCCAACGGAACGCCGTTCGAGACAGGCAGCGATATCGTGTATCCTGTTTTGAAAGTGAAAGCAGGTAAACGGACCATGCGATGAAGAAAAAATGGGCTATGTGGCAGAATGAAAGGCCAGTGAATAACAAGGGCAGTTTCAGGCATAGCCCTGTGCTCAATGGTAGACTGGCTCACGTAGTCCGCAAACTTTTGGTTGACTGTATGGGCGGTAGTCGCTGCGAAAGCACAAAAAAACCGCGAGTGAAAAAAACAAACAAACCATTAGCTGAAGTAAAAAAATGCATTGTAGCCCCAAAGGGTGCGAGAACTTGTTTGGCTTGCTAGAAGCAGTCGAAATATTCAGACAAGTGTTTCTAATGGGAAGTGCTAAAAGCTAGGGGCGTAGCCAGAATTTTTTTCACGGGAGGGGGCACCATGATTTTGGCCGGGCACACTTTTGAAATGATGATACTTTGCTCTATTATGGCAAAAAAAGTAGGGGAGGGGAGGACCTGGTGTGCCACCCCCTGGCTACGCCCCTGCCGAAAGCACGGCATCAACCACTTTTGACACTTTCATGCCTTCTCACACGATATGTGACCGCGAACTTCAAAGCTTTCGGAGCGTCACACCGCACGAATACCTTTCTTTCGAACGCGGAGCTTCACACATGCCAGTGGGTTGAGAGACCACTTACAGTGCCACACAGTAAGCAATAGGGCGCCTTTTCGCGTTAGAGAATCAGTCAGTTCAAGGGAACCAATGTCATTAAAACCATAATGCTCTCATATTTGCAGCACATATAAGAAATTGGGCTATGTTGTCCCTCAAAGTGAAAGAATTGATAAATAAGGCTGACCTGAGGAACAAATTTCGACTGTTAGCGGAAGCACAACCACGTCAGGATGGACTAAGCAGGAACTGATGGCATGGTATTTTCGCGCCAGTAGTGAAAAGGGGCGTCACTATTTGCGCTTCAGTGTCATTTCATTATATTCTCTTCAACCTTGTAGTAGTAACTGCTAGGCTTTTACGCGCTGCAACAGCGTTAAGGTCATGATGATGCACGCCAAATTGGGAACCTCGTATAAATTTGAACCCAACTGCGGTGCCCCTAAATCAACGCGCAGGACAATTCTTTTGGTGGAAAGCGGAAACTGCGAGCGGAAGTGGTGAGCGGAAACTATCCTCTCGGCGATTAAAACATGATTGCTTTCACATGCCGCTGAGCATACAACTTGCGAGGAAACTCACTTGTTAGCAGCGAAGGTCCCACGAGTGGGGTAGGCGGAATGCGCCGCTTCCCATCTCGACGCCAGCGTAAGGCACACGCTGTTTTTATGGCGACACATCTCGCCTTGCAGGCACAAAGAAGGTCGACCAGACAAAGCGCAGCAACGGCACAAACGTTTCAGTCTGGCGACGGCAGCTGATATCTATCAGGGACCGACGAAAATTCCGAGACGACTAAGGGTACAATGCAATAGCCAGAGCAAGCGAAGCTCTGGTGGAATACACACTGCGAAAGAAGGCGAGTGATGAACAGAAGACGTGTTTAACAGCTCTAGTCAGCAGCGCCGACTTGGACACGTGATTGCCTGTCGTCCAATTGGGCCTCGACGGTCTGATTACGATAACTTGGTATATCACTTCTGTCTCGGTGCTTCGCCGTGCCTACGGCACACAGGTGCTGCCGGGCTGTACATCCCGCCCACCGCCGATGAACGCCCTTTCGTAATGGCACCTGTGACGTCACGTGCGCAAGAAGTTGTGCTGTCATCTTCTACGACAGTTTCATCCTCTGCTAATTGTTCAGTTTTCGTTCTAAGCAGATGATTTCACGACAAAATTTCATGTCGAAACATTGACCCCAGCTACACCACGCGTTTGAGGAGTTTTCATCCTCATTTTCCATAAAGCACTCGAGTTACTTTGGCTTTCTCTGTTTATAATGTATTTAACTTGGAATACCGTGATTTGTTTTTGATTTTACTTTTTTTTCACGCTTATTCGCACGCTATTCTCTATATGCACTTATAGTCAATTTGAGTGATATTGCACATTCTTAATACTGTAAGTCGGCCATCCCTCCGACAATTCCTTTGAATATATACCATTTTCTCTTTATTATTCCCGTACGCCCAAACGCTTACGAGAGTTCCATCACAAAAATGACGTCCGACAATTCTTGATGGATTCAAAGATGGAGTACCTTCGTTTTAAAAGCCATTATTAGGCGTTGTTATGTCTTTTTCTCTTTTTTTGCGGCAGATATTTTTGACGCAGTTATCAGGGCCATTTGTGACCACTTCATCATCGCGTCTCTGGTTTATGTTTTTAAAGGTGTCACTGATGATTGGTATGGGGGGTATAACGTCCCAAAATCACCATATGATTGTGAAAGACCCCGTAGTGGAGGGCTCCGGAAATTTAGACCACCTGTGATTCTTTAACGTGCACCCAAATCTGAACACACGGGCCAAAGGCATTTTCGTCCCCATCGAAGATGCAGCCGCCACAGCCGGGATTCGATCCCGCTACCTGCGGGTCAGCAGCTGAGTACCTTAGCCACTAGACCACCACGGAGGGCCACTGGTGGGTTTAAAACTACAAAAGCTTAAAAAAAATGTTGACGCGCACTCGTTTTCAAGACGCTTGAAATAGAATGCACAACTCAGTCGAGACCTAAACTGAAAGAAGGAGTGCATCGGCGCGAAATGCAGCATTTCGCATTTCGCGCCGGTTGCCGCCGGGCCGCACCGACCGACGCTGGTCGTGCCTGGCGTCAGACTATAGAGTGCTCGCGTTTCGCTAACGTTGCGTCGCTGTGCACCCAGCGTGCACGCGCGTCAACGCTACACTGGAGTGTATTGGGCCCTTCTTGATGCGCTCGCGGCCATTTTGCTAGCTCCACATATACAAAACTCGTTGTTACGTGACGTCAATCGATGACGAAAGCATATGACTGGTGCAAACATGACAATCCTGACACGCATGACATGTAAGAACAGGACAACATATTACGTTTATAGCGTGCTCGCGACCGGTTTGCTACCTCCACGTATAATAAGTTTAACATTACGTGACGTGAATAGATGACGTAGGTAAACGAACCATCCAAACATGATAATCATGACACGGAAGTCATGTATGGCATCATTTACCTCCACATTGTAACGTTGCGCTGATTTTAAAGTGACATATCAACCTTTCTTATTCGAAATTTTCTTATCTTCGATTCCCACTGTACGTGGGATCTGCCAATTTTTTTTTTGTCCTTCTCTCGCGCGTTTGCCTTCCTTTGGAATCCAGTCACTTGTCCTCAGTGATCAGAAGCTATAAGTCCAGCTCATAAACTTTTTTCTGCTTCGTTACTATAATATCCCTATCACGTATCTGCTGCCTGACCCACACTGTTAGTTTCTTGTGTCTTCAGGTTAATGCTATTATTTTCCTTTTCATTTCTCGTTGCGTTGTGCCTGAGGTTTAAGTTGAACCCTCTTTGTAAGCCACTAGATTACTGCTACTGCTCTGAGCGAAGTACCGGTAAGATGCAGTTGTGCACTTTCCCCTCGAGGGATAAGGATAAAATACCATTCATGATTTCAGAATCATTCCGGAAATGGGCTGCACCATCATATTTATTCTTCTTGTTACTTAGGTGTTATTGTACGGCACTACGTCTACCCTGTGTACCAAGTACACGAATTACTTTACAACTTTTAATGCCTCACTATCTACCGCAAAGCGCTGTCAATGAACAACCTCGAAATCAGCGCTTGTTGAATGTGTATGCCCTCTGTTCATGTGTTGTTTAACGCCTGAACGACTGTCAATGTGAATAGTTTGCTGGCACTCAGTTCACCGCCTATTTGACTATATTCTTCAGTTTGGCCACGCCTGTCAGCCCTAGGGGAGTGGAGGGTTTGCAAAGAGGCGCGTGTTTATTCTGCCTGTCCCTAGTGCCAATCCACGCCGACACTTGCCCGAATCCAGGCTGCACAAGCACTTCCCCGTCCCCAAGGCGCGATACAAAATGTGTTTGTACATCCCCCATGACACAATCTTGCCAATGCTTCGGTCATGTGTTTTTCCTTTATGTGTTTTCTTGGCTAGGTGTGGAAATGCCCTTATTCTCTTTGGTAAGGTATATAAAGTAGCTATTATTGCCACTATTATTGAAACTACAGGATTCATTCTGCAGTTATAATGATCAATTTTTTTGTGTAAACTAAAAGGTATGTACTTCCTTTTTTTCCCTTTCCGCTTTCGCTATTTTCATTTCAAGAGACTGTTGTTTGCAGATAAACATTATTTCTTGCATGATGATATTATTGTGAATTGTTTACTTTAATTTTAATAATAAAAACTATTACGGTTTTTGTTATATACACTTCCAATGGGACCCGCGCTAGCTTTTGGTTATGGGACATACAGGTCATGCGTATTCTGGCAAATATATGCGCGAAATAAAGAAAATTTATTTATTCATTCATTCATGCCTATTCAGGACAAAGTGGAGGTCCCTTTGCGTACAGTCAACGTTGTGCAATTCAGAGCTCCAACGCACTATGTTCCAGAGCGTGCTCTACTTCAACGTCTAATCAGCAGAAACGAAACAAGCACATTGTGTTTCCTGTTGCTATCTGCTCTTGGCACTGGCACAACAATAATGCTTATCGCTGTTGTCGAAGTGAGCCGATAAGCTTTGCGCTGATAGGCGGGCTTCCGAGTACACTGGCGTTCCATTTTGATGTTAGAGATGGACGTTGATGTCACCGCTGAAGCCATCAAATTCCGCATCCTTCTGTGGCTTGTTGCACTCTGCGCAAACATTGACAGATCAACGTTAACGGTGAGATTTACTTCGCACAGTCAGGCTGTCCTTGGATTTTCTCCTGCCCGGCTCTTGGAGCATGTGCGAAGTATGGCCACTGACAGGACATTCGCACTTCCCTTTAGGCTCAGGGCCACGAAGACAGAAGCGTACGCAATCAATACTTCAATTACACTGGTGAGTAATGTTTATGTCGCATTCAGTGTACAGGTTCAGGGCTGTAGTGAGCTACTTACGACCAGAAAAAAAGTATGGCGTAGTATTTGCAAAGGCAGACGGAGGCACAGGCCGCAAAACTGTACTGGAAGGGTAGGTAAATAATATGTCTGAGTCGTAGATAAACCATTCACATTTAACTGTACTTGTGGATGACACTATCGATGAAAAACAGGCAAACATGTGTTATCTTTTCCCATTTTCATCTAAAATGATATAGCCTACTTTGTTATATAAACATCCCCTGAAACTCATTTCACATAGAGTTGAGCTATTGCAGCAAGTATGTGCTGAGGCACTTACGTGTCACTAAGACGCACAATAAAAGAATTTGTTGTAACGTTTTTATGATAATATATTATTTCAACTGCTCAGAAGTCATTCTTTTTCACGAAAATTGTCGTGAAACTGTATGGCGAGAATGTGCGCATTTTTTCGTTGTTGGTAACCTGCTTTCGTATTAACGAAAATGCGTGTTCTTTCAGATATCGGCCCTGTACAGGAGCTCTCCTACCATATTACGAACGTCACCATCCTCGCGGCAACGTGGCGGCAACCCCACACCATACAAAACATCGCAGGATACGTCCTCGAATGTGCTGAGCAACAGCAACAAAGCATCAAGAAGGTAAAAATACTTCCAGAATCAGAGATCGTTGAAGCGGGCTTGGATTTGGAAGACCAAGTTGCAGCCTTCGAATGCAGTGTGTGGGCATTCTCTGAACATCATAATGGAACCGCTGTTCTGTTCAACGTTACGACACTTGGACTGCGTGAGTATACCACACACTTAATTATTGTTTTAAAAGCACATCATAATAACAATACTAACGGTGGTTGAACGTCGCAAGATCATGATACATTTATGAGGGATGCCATATTGTGAGAGGTTCGAAACGTTCCACCAACGGGCGTTGTTTACCGTGCACTTGAATCCAAGAACACGGGCTCCTAGTATTTCGCCTACATCAAAATAGGGCCTGCACAGCAGAGACTTCATCCCGCCACCGTCGAGCTCTGTAGTCCCTATGGACCACCTCGAGGAATGCCTAAAAGCACGATGGCTAGGGATAAAGCGTTTGGCTGTTTTGCCACTCAGTTCTGGAAAAACAATGTGGAGCCCGTGGGTGCGATTTTCAGAAAAGCTATACCGCTTGTGCGCTATATTCGTGTCTTTTGAAATACACTTGCTCCACTTTCAACGCAGATATCATGAGCAATTGATTGATTGATATTATGAAGTCTTAGTTTGGAAGACCTTTATTAGGCCCGAAGAACCGGCAGCCGACAGCTGAGATGAACGAACCAATATGATGATGCTACGTGACAACGATGAGGATGCATGAGCAACACATGATAATGATGATAATGTACAGATGAAGAGGATTGGTATACTAAATGCCCACAATATGTAGGGTTTAACGTCCCAAAACCACCATATGATTATGAGAGACGCCATAGTGGAGGGCTCCGGAAATTTCGACCACCTGGGGTTCTTTAACGTGTACCCGAATCTGAGCACACAAGCCTACAACATTTCCGCCTCCATCGGAAATGCAGCCGCCGCAGCCTGGATTCGAACCCGTGACCTGCGAGATATCATAAGTGATAAAAACTGAATGAAGTGGCACTTAATTGTTTTTGGCTCAGCAATGTAAGAAGTGCTGTCGAAAATGTAATTGCTTGCATAATCACTCCTCAACTATTATGGATTACTTCCTTAAAGCAATACTCTCCATTGTGATAAGTCGTTAAGCGGCCTAATCGGAGCATAATAAAGTTGGGTGGCGGCGCAAGAACGGGAAACACAGAGTGGGACAGACAGGGCGTTTTGTTTTTCTCACTCAGTTTCAGAAGTCTTGCCAGATTTATTTTTTTCTGGGGGAGGGGGGTGGACAGGCAAGGGTTTGGTCATACCGTAAGTATGTTCATGTGTATAATATACTCAAAGAAATTGAAAGATTTCGGAGAGTTTCAAGTCCTCCCCTCCATCTTAATGAGCCCCTGGTAAGTTTGTCTCGTCTTATTCTCTTAATATTACTTCGTATGATGGTGACATTGAGCCTAAACAGCTTTCAATGCTTCAGAAAAAATTGAAATTGACTGACGCTGCTTAGAACCTTCATGATTTGAGCGATTGTTTAGTATCCATGCTTGACATGTTGAAATAAAACATGTTGAACTGCATAGGCAGATCCAAAATTGTGTGGAGGAACTTGCCGGTGCAGTTCTCTCACTCAATCGCTCAGTTTTAGCGCAACAAACTTGTTGGATATTACGTGATTCCGCAAATTTTTATATCCTCTTACTCTTCCTAAAACGTTGGTGGTGAATGTCGTGTATAAACATGGATATTTAAATGAAAACTCACGCATGTCACATTTCTTATGAGTATGTATGCCTGAGCTTTATTACCGTTTGCACTTGTCGGGAACAGATCCTGTTACGAACCTAAGCTTTGTTGGTGGATGTGACGGCAGTTTACAAGCAACGTGGTCGTACACGCACAAGAATGAGGCTGGATTCAATCTCACAATCTGCCGGCAGCCAGGAGAGAAATGTAATACCACCCTGGTCCAAAAGAACGTCCGACTTTACAAGTTTTCGGCAAAAGAGTTGGACGTTGAATATCAGCTGAGTGTGAGCGCGATCGGCAAGATTTCGGGAGTGAATGTCCGTAGCAAAGATGTTGTGGCGAGCGCCATGTCTTTTCCACATGGTAAGCCCTATGTTGTTTGTTATCTCCTTCTATGATTTCTTAATTAGAATACACACATTTCAATGTGAAAGGTTACGTGACTGAAATGATGTATCTACGTTCAAATAATCAAAAAGATTTCACTGAATAATTCTAGAGTTTTCGCTTGGCACACGTAACTCTCTGTAAATGGACACGTTAACTCTCCTTCGGTGTCATTGTACTCTTTTCTCAGAGTAGTGTGACAAAAAAAAAAAGAGTTAACGTGCACTTATAAGGGAATAATACTCGTGGCAAGTAAGGATCACCTAAAACGAGTAACGCATACCCCCCCCCCCCCCTTTTTTTTTTGGAGAGTGTTGCGTAATCATGGTTTTTGCCTCATTTGAATGAATGAAGGCAGCCCATCTATACAACACGCAAACAACAAAATATAGCATATGTTTCGAAATAAGGTAGGGTATAGACGAAATAAGGTATCATTGAATAATGGGTATCACTGCAAGCAATGCTTTGACAAGTGATATTGCTTTCTTCAAAGCCGCGAGCTTCAAAGCCAGGCCAATAATAAAACCGTTTGCTCCAGTGACAGTCGCTTTGAAAGCATTCTGGATTACAAAAAAAAAACATAGTATATCACCTTTGAAACTGAATCCTGAATAATTGTTGTCATATATCAAAAATTTTCTGAATTAAAAAATTACAAAACAAAAAAATCTTACCAATACAAAATTTCGCACATAACGTGTCACCTAGCATAGTGAACCCACTAACAATTATAAGTTCTCCTCTGATGCAAACAATAATATTTTTTCACACACGCTTTATATCTTGCTGTGCCACTGGAACCTATAATGGGTATGTTTTGTGTTGGTGGCTGTGGATGATAATAAATGTGGGATTTAGTCCCTCAGGATTGCAACAAAGTTTTTGTTGCATATATATGTAGAGGTGTGGAAAATAATTCCGCATTGCTGTTTTATGTAGTTTGGTTTCAATTAATAATGTGAACGGATTTGAAGTAAATAGTGTTTAGTTCTCTTTTTGCATTAATTTTAGCCTCGGACTTTAAAAAAATAGCCGTTTTAATTGAGATGTTTAGGCATCTCAGTTCTATAAACTGCAAATTCTAAGGCTACTCTACTCAAGTAGTTTTGTTTATTCTGACTTTTTTCGCTTAGATAATTGCTGTAATAGGACATCTCTCTACGAAAAATTGCATGTTTCCATTCCGATTACTTCACGTAATTGCTTGTCCTCAATATTTACTTGAAGTTATCAGGAACTTCAATTTATCGCTAGGCTGACTTTGAGAATAGAAAAAATTTGATATTGTTCAGTAGCAATTGACGCAGGAGAGCTGCACCTCTCTCAGGACCACGGGTGGTTGCAATGGTGCGTTGGTGTTCATATTTTTTGAAAAGTGTTGACAAAACAATATTCCCGGATGAGAACGGATCTTCACTTAATACTGTGTAGCGGGGGTGACACTATCAGTTCTTTTTATCTCCCTGCACATTATTGTCTAAACTTCCTGGACATTAACACTCCAATGACGTTTCTACGTCAAGGTACTTACCAGAGATTTTTTTTTGTTTTTAATACATGCCGCAGCTCCCATTTCGCTGCGGTATAGGGCAGAACAAGAAGAACGACCGAAAGTTGAAAAATATATAAACAAGCCTATGGACGCCTAAAAGACGTTATTAGTTGTCTTTCCCTGCTTTTTTTTCCTGAAAATTGTGGCTTTAAAATATTCAAAGTTATCAAACACCACGTTGTTTTGTCGGCGAGATCCAAATGTAGTTCCTCCCAATTATGCGTGAATTTATGTGATAATTAGAAGGCTACGGGAAAGGTCGCAATTCGTGTCACATGTGACTTGATCCAGCTAAATATTACTGGCATTTATTTTTTGTGTCTCAGAAAGAAAAGGGCCCTCCGAGACAAGAATTCCCCTTTCTCCTTCAGTTCACTGTCAATATAGAATTTCAGTTCACAATGTCACGATATCAGTCTTGCAATGTTACAGCATCATTTATGCATTCTAATGCGATAATATACAAACTCTCACCTCTTATGATTGTAACCCCCGAATTCAAAAACGCCCCTCTACTCGACTTTCACCCTTCACTTGACAGAGTTGAGCGCTGCGGCGCTGCTCGGCTGAAAGTGACGCTGCGCTACTCTAGAATCGCAGCAGATTATCGCTGATATGCAGTGACTTTCCCTGGCTAGAGACGGCGCTCCCATCGGCCTTCTCAAGTGAAGGTGAAGCGTTGAGTGGAGGGACGTTCTAGAATACGGGGGTTAGTATACTTAAGAAATGGCGGCACCTCACGTTTCACCGCTTTCTTTTTTTTTTACAGTTCCCTTGCTCGCTGACGTGGTAGTCGAAGGGGCCAGCCCCGAAGCGCTGACGGCAACGTGGCAAACAAATTGGACCCACGAGATACACTTTTCTATTTGTTCGTTGAATGATACAGGCCAATACTGTCAAAACTACAACGTTTCCGGCGCGCTTCGTCAAGTTTACTTCACAGGCCTTCTGCCGCAAACAACGTACGACGTCAAAAGCAATGGTCAAGCAACCTATGGTAATCAGACATGTGTCGGCCCAGAAACAGAACAAACAGCTTCCACGTATTCGTTGCGTAAGTATTTGCCATTGTTACTGCCTAGTACATATCGTAATAAAAATGTTTTGTTATGAATATCATTTGTTCTTACCGGGTATATTCGTTTATTTCAACACATATGTAAACATAGTGTGTGAGGCTAGATGTCAATCTCTACAATGTTAAAAAACAGTTATAAGAGTTCGGTGTGTTCAACATTTACGGATTTTCGTTTAGAATTCTTCTTTTGCTGTGCTTGGTGACACATAAGCTGTATTACAACTAGGAACAACGAACAATACATCTTTTCATATCTTTTGGACTCAACCGTTCAAGCGGAGCGGTATTGCCATCTGGGAGAGATACTCGCAGACACTTCACAGCGTTCTCATCCTCCCGGAGGGTGGCGCTAGCTGCCTGCTCGCGTTAGAGTTAATGCTACCTTTAGGCTAAAGGTAGCATATATAGTAACTCTAGCTCGCGTGTTCTCGTGTAGTATAATCGAACGTGGCAGCGACTACATATCTAAAGGCATCTTGCCATAGACGTGGGCACGGGGGGGGGGGGGGCGCATAGTGGGACCGTTTACTCAAATAATAGGGAGGGACGACGCTGAGACAAACCTTCCCCCCTCCCCCCCCCCCGAAGGGCAACCCTGCGCGCGCTTATGCATCTTTCAGTGAACCAGTGAAAGAACGTCCTCTTTGAACTATGATGTAAGATAAATTGTATAAGGATGATTATTAGGATACATTTCAGCACTGAGGAAATGCATTAAACGGGTCTTCAAAAAAGGCTGATGCTTACTTGCAGCCCTGTGTACACTTTATGGTGTATAAAATTCATACCGTGTGCTACAAGTGATAATTGTCTTCTCCAGCGTACGTGTAGGCTTTTAATCAGCCTTCGCAACTACATTGTTGATAGTTCTTGCTGATTTATTTGGTTTATATTTATTTTTCGTTCATTTATTTGCATATTCATTTATTTATCTGTTCGTTCATTTACTTATTTATTTGTTTGTTTATTCATTTATATAAATACTCTCAATGCAATTTGCGGCGTTACAGAGAGGAGTTGTGTTACAAGTCAGAATTAGCAGTCTTGAATGATGCATGATCAGGGTTGCTGGCGATGTAGGCAGCTTTGAAGGCTTACTTACCTCTAAAAGATTTACGATGATTTAATGTTGCGTAATAGCACTTTTGTGTAATGCTTTAGGTTGTGTAAGGCTCAGACAACTCTTGTATCCATCGCAAGCAGCTAAGTGCTTACAATATATATATATATGTGCCTGATTTTTTTTGCATGCTTAATGCCATAATGATTGATTTTGAAGATACCAGTGTTTTCTGATAAAGATTAGTTTTTATTTTTATTGTTTGTTTTGGTTTGTGCCTTGCAAGTTCACTAATACAAGGCGAACAGGTTTAGATGACGCCAGAGGGCGCAGTAAAATTTACGTCATCATGGTATCAGGTGTTAATTCTTTGGTTGCTGCTTTTGGTTTTACACGTTTTTATTGGAGCTGACAAATTGTTAGCAGTGCTTTTCCAAAATAACAGAATAATAATTACTTATGCTACATTCTAATGTCTATATCTAAGCTGCCTGATTTCTTTTTAGACCCTGGCCCAGTTTGTAATTTGGAATACAAAATTGACAACGTCACGAGGCTCGTGGCAAGCTGGGATGGACCTGTCGCAAGCGTCCCTTACGATGGTTACGCCTTGCAATGCATAGAGAAGAAATTCGGCGCAGTGAAAAGTACGGAGACTTTGCAGGCGGAAAAGCACGCTAACATCACGTTGGATCTTGAAGAACAGCTAGCAGGGTTTTTTTGTGCAGTATGGGCTTTCGCCTACAATGGGACTGCACGGAACAATGGAACGACCAACACCTTTTTTGTCAAGACAAATGGCATAGGTAGGTGCAAAGGAACACACTACGATAACCTAGTGTTTATGGAGCGTGTTAATAGAAATCATAAAATCGTAAAGGTCTTGTTTTGATATCGTTCTATGTTTGGAAGTTCTCCTTGTTTTTAAATTACACCCTATTTTTTCGATGTATCAATTGAAAGCACATGGTGCGAAATTTCTTCTAGTTGTCTATAGTTAACAAAGCCTTCGAAGCTTGATTACTGAGCTATTAAAAATGCTGGAAACATTTATCGTCACTACGACTATTTGTGTCGTATAATATTGCAATAAAATATACTGGTCACTGTTTAAACTTTATGCCTCAAGTACTTGATATGATTACAAGAGATGCCATTATGGAGGCTTCCGCAAGTTTTGACACCTGGGCCACTCACAAAAATGTCAGCACACTGGTCTCTAGCTAATTGCATCTATCGAAATGTGGCCGCTATGGGCGGAACTCGATCTCGCAAACATGGCGTAAGCAGTCCACCACCATAACCACATGGTCACGGCGGCAGCTGTGTGTTATAGAGACAGGCTTACAACCACACACACGAAAAGCAACTTGCAACTGGTGTTTATGAGAATGTAATATTTCTGTACTTACGATTTAAAATCCTATTATGGCAGAATAAACTCCTGCTAATTTTAGATGACATTTTTTTTGTAAAAACGCTATACTTATACACTATTTGTCTGCTGCTTGTCTGTTTTATTGAAATAGTTTTGCTTTACATCTGGCAATAAAAATTGGCCCCGTATCTGCATTTAATCTGCAAATGTCGTCGAAAGACGATAGTCTTGCGTGTGGAGGGAGTGAACAAAACATTTCTTTGATGTTCCGCTCAAGAAAATCGGTGACTGGTATTCTGGAAAGGCTGCAGTAAAGTGCCTCGAGCGTGCAGCGGAGGCGAACGAGCGCATCAAGTCACGTCACACGTGAGACATGAGCGCCATCTGGCAGTTTGTTTTCAAATCAAAGCGCGCGGCTCTGAGACAGGTGTGTGCGCCCGCCTCAGAGGTGATAAGGTGTAGAACGCAAGGCGACCGGTAGGTGCCACCACCGTCTCGTTTTAGCAAAGTGTTGGAAACACTCGCCTTTCCGCGCAAGCGTTGGATGGTCAGCGCAGCGTGATAAGCGCTACGGTCCTTAAAATCACTTATGTATGCCTTTTCTAGTAAAAGGCGCACATGAACAATATATACGTGTTGTTATAGTGCCCCAGACACGCGCGATAATTGCGTTTGAATCGACAATTGCACAAGTATGAACGCTGAACCTTGAGCAACATGGGTGGGCGCTGCGAATGGGGTCGGCCGTTTCAAATACCCGAAGCTGTTAAAAGTAGACAAACAGACAAATGTACAGACAAACAGACCAAACTTTTTGCGCCGAAGGTCCCCCAAGATATCATCTTTATTAATTATGTGCAGGTCCTCCAAAACATGTTACACTTGTTGAAAGAACAGCAATGAGCTTGGCTTATTCATGGGCAAAGGATCGAAATGCACCGAAATGCCGAGTCGTGGTGGTGGCTATTGGTGCGAGTGACGTAATTCAAGACGACTGCAGCAGCATCAGTGACGAGGAACTCGTTCGCTATAACATCACTGGTTTGACCCCGGGACGAGGATACAACGTTTCAATACAGAACTGTGCCGAATACTGCGGCATAGCGACAGTGATCGACGATCACACGAACGTTGCCGGTGAGTTCACAACTTTCGTTGAGTGATTTCTTTCGCTGCATGTGATAAATTTGCTATCTTGCCAAATAGTCGTGTTAGAATGTTAATGTGTGTTTGAGACCTAGCGTTTACAACCATACTCTGTGCTCGGGATTGATGGCTTTAGGGGACACAAGTGGGCTGGCTAGTTGGTTAACGTCACGCTGTTATTGCAATATAACAATGGACGTTTTCAGCAAATCTTTTATACTTGAGGTCTGTGATGTCTCGTACGCAGAAAAACCATAATTATTCAGCTCGTGCACCCTTTATTCTCGTTGTTTCCTGAACATGTGCCCCATATAGTTGAACGAGACATAATAACTCTGAACGGTGAGAAAACGAACACTGAGGAAAAAGGAGAAAGAAAGGAATGAATTCTGAGAAGCAAGATTCTCATTCGCATACCCGCAACCCTAATGCAAGCGTCGTAACCAATCCGCCATTCAAGTTAGAGTTTATCATTTTTCAAGGTATTATGCAAAAAAAAAAAAACCAGCAGATCCCACGTACTGGGGAATCAACGTTATGCGAAGTACGCGAAAAGGTGACCGTGTTAAAATTTTTTATTGAGCGATACGTCATAAAATGACACACAATATATGTGCGAATTTCTCACGCACAGACGTATGTTGAAGAGCTGCAGGTGTTTATATAATCAGTAGTTTACACTTGCGCAATAACGTCAACTGGGGCATGCGTATTAGCAACACCAGAAGCTGATAAGAAGTGCTGATGCTCACGAAGATGCTATCGCTGGACACTACTACATAAATAAACTTCAGCGCATGGCATCTAACCACAATCGACGTTAACCTGAAGTGACGGCCGTATCAAAGGAGTACATATGTAATGTTTAAAAAAATAGGGTGGGCATCACTGCAAGCACTATTGACGTTTCACGAAGAATAGCGTTCATTAAAAAATTTGTTCCGAAACCTGGCATAGTTCTGTGGTAGAATGCTTGACTGCCACACGGAATGTTTGGGTTCGATTCCTGCTGGGACCCTGAAATTTATTATTTGCATTAGTCGAGGGATGAACGCTGCCTACGTCAGGTCTTTCTCAACACTGACATTTATTCAATGCCTTCGTTGGGTCGACGCTACTGACGTCGGGTATTGCTTACCGCTCACGCGTTAAAATTGCCCATGTGTGTTCTCGCGTTTTTGGGTAGGTACTAAGTGTCAGTTACCTGTGGCACATACCCGCATAACAGCGGCACATACCCGCCCGTTGGCATGTGCTACTGTCTGGCGGGAAGTGTTTGACGACGTAGGCGACGACATTTTGACATTATTCACGTCTTGACCAGCGCGTCATGTTCGTCAAACCATCTTACCCACCCAGTCTAATTTTGATTCATGCCACGTTAAGGGGGTGACCACGAGAGCACCCAAATGTAAGCGCCTAGATAGATAGATAGATAGATAGATAGATACGCTCAAAGTCACGGAAGCTCGCTAAAAGTGCTTTGCATTTAAAGAAGTGTGCGGAAAGATGTTCCACAGTAATACAAACAACTACAGTGTGATCTCATGTTATATTTACTCAACAAAACTGAAAATGTGTTGGTTGAAAACAAACATATGCGAGATCTACATATTCCGTGCAGTGATAAACTTTCAAGGCATGCTTAACAAAGCATAGCATAGAAATGAGGAAAAAGATTGAAACAAAAAGGCAGAGAAATATAAAAAAACAAGGAAAAATAATAAATAAACAATAGACACGTAGCGAGCGACTACCGGGAAAGTAGAAGAACGGAAGAAAAGACAGAAATAAAGGAAAGGAAACACATACAAATAAAGGAAAAATGGGAAAAACCTCAAACAACGATGAAAAAGTTGGGAAGGTACAGAAAGAAATCAATAGAGAAATATGGGAAGGAAGAGCAACAAAATAAGACAGAAAGTATTTTATAGACAGTTATTATAGTATAGCCAAAAATAGAAAAGACGGCAAGTATATTACAGCCATGCATTTTATAGTATAGCTAGGCGTGGGAAAGAGGAAGATGACAAGGTAGAACCTTAGCCAACTCCGTCTACTCTACCCAGTTGTGAATGACTTAGTGTTAGTTGCGCTAGTTTTGTACCAGCATACGACATAACGTGTTCATAATAACATTGTGTTGGCATGTTTAGGAGTGGCTATTTATATGCATCATGCAACACATCTAAAAGCTAGCGTATGTTTCGTTCCTGGTTAATTACACCTTTGCGTTTGCATGATTCTTGCCTCATCTTTCACCACCTATAATATTGCTATTTTCTAAAACTATGTTTGTGCACCTGTGATGCACGATAACATTTGTACATGCCTCCATTGGCAACGCATGGACACTTCCTACAACGGTGCAATGAAATGTGAGGTGTGAGACACAGACTGATGTGTATACGAACACTCAAAAAGGTTACATCTCAGGCCCCTGGCATTTACCTTTGGGTGGCTCATCCTTCCTAGATGTCCAGAAGTTGCATTATTAAACGTAAAAATTTGAAAATTTGTTCGATGTGTATGTGCAACCTATATGTAAATCTAATTTGATAACGGTTAATTATAAAAGAACTGCAAGATATTTTTGAGATGCAGCGACACCAATGAGACACTCCATCATCTCACACTCAAAAGACACTGACTAAACATGGTATGATCATATTATTGGGAACATTTCATGCAAATTTGTTCCGCGTGCATTGGGGAATTCAGAGGTATTGAAGATAATGGTCTCCTTCTTGATGATTGCTTTTTTGTTCACTTTTAGCGCCATCAGTTGTGACGAACTTCACCGCCTCAGTCACTGGATTCGTCAATGTGACGTTCACATGGGAAAAGCCAGCGGTACCAAATGGTCCTATCGATGGGTACCTTATCCGCATCCTGAACGAAGACAACAACGTCACAACGGAAATTCTCGCAGACTGGATTGAGTACAGATGCTACCATCGTGGTGGGATCAGAGTTTACTTATTTTCGCTGTTCAATCACTGCTTACAATGTAAGAAAGCCAGAAGGTGAAAAAATTTTCGGCCCTGAAACGTCTACGTCCTTCGAATCTCTTGGGAGCTGGTGAGATTCTGTCACTTTACTTTTAACTAAATTCGAATGACCGCGTGAGCAACTCTATGATACATCTTGCACACGAGGACTAAACCTGCTCTCAGTCAGTATTGTCCTTGCAGGTTGTGAAGGCAAAATTACTTGGTCACATTGAAATAATTTCCTAATAACGATATTTGCGTTATGAATCCTTGGCTAATGGTCAAGTGATCCATTCTAGAATTTAACTTTGAGGTGACAATCGTACTTCAAACATGCTTTATCCTAAGGATGTAGAATATTTGTTTCTCAATTAAACGCTTGTAAACAGTACCTATAGGCAGAAATAAAAAAGAAACAAACTAGGCAAGCAATTACAGGGCTGCCTTGTGTTGTACAAATATGAACCGTTGCTCAAAGTGATGAAAAAGTCACGTGAACATGTATTTTTATCCGTCGTAGCTTTACCCAACTGATCTACTTGGCGGCTATCCCCTAGTCGCCTTTGTGTGGTATATATGTGCATTAAACATGAGAGCGTCAGTCCTTCTTGCGTGCGCGTTTGCGCGTGCTGTTTTTTATAAAGAATACGCACCATCTCGATCAGCTCTGTGCTATTCTATGAAACATATACAAACAGAGATGAAGATATTGCAAGTCAGACGCGAAAAAGAGTTAGAGAAAATTAATAGCAAGATAGAAAAAAGACAAACAAAGGAAGAGAGAGGACGAAGCGAAAAAAAACTATGAACGCCACCCAGGCACGCACTTCTTTCAAGCAATGATTGATTGAATGATTGAAACTTATTGGCAATAAATAAATACACATCGACTGCAAACACTGTGTGACCTCCAGTATTGGGGCCATTTACAAACGTGTATTTGTTAATTGTGCTCGTCAGTGACAGTGAAATACAGACGAGCAACAGCAGAAGAGAAAATGAAAAGCACAAAAAATCAAAACAACAGACATTTAACCTAGAAAAGAGAACAACGAACGAGACATTCCATTTTTAAAGAAATGATATATATATATATATATATATATATATATATATATATATATATATATATATATATATTGTGTTTGTTTAGTACCAATATTGTGGACGCTGCTATGACTTTTAATCACATTGCTTACAGTAGTTTATAGCTTTAGCATTTAAGACGGGCTTCTGAGGCATAAAATATTTGCCACGCGACTGTTTGCATTTTCGAGCAGTGAAGTTTTTTATGTCTATCTTGGTTATTGCACCAACACCTAAAACCAATGTTATGAACTGAAACATCATTTTCACTTCTGCAGGGCCGTTTCCACCCCATCCGACCGTACGTGACATTCAAGAAACTGACGCGATAGTGTACTGGGAAAAAGCGGAGGACCCACGATACAACATTGCATCTTACAAAGTTTACGTCGAAACGAAAGGCAGCTTTGCCACAACGCACACTAAGCTCAACATAAGCCACCTCAATCCATGGACCAGATACGTGGTCAGCGTATCCTCGTGTGCACAGGAGATTGGTTGCGGTGAAGAAAGGTCTATTTCCTTCCGAACGGATGTTGCAGGTAAACCTACATAACTACGTTGCAGGTAGCCTACGTTGCAGGTAAACCTACGTAACTACGTTGCAGGTAGCCTACGTTGCAGGTAAACCTACGGTAATACATCAAGTAATACCTCTTATAAGTAGTGTACAATTTAGCCAGAAATAGGTAGAAAGACGTGATACACTCGCGTCATGAGTCCTGCAGAACGTTTTGTGCTACAGACGTATTGGTGGAATAGTTTGTTTATGACAGCTTATGGCAACGCGCATCACTTGCCAAATGGATGGATTAATAACCTAATGATAGACGTTCGCGGCGTGCATTTAGCACGCAGCGGGCCACTCCCACTTCGGGATAGAGAGACCTTGCCCCTTCGCGGACCCGATGGACAGCCCACGGCTTCACGCAGCTCGGACATTGAAGCGCAGCTCTGGGCTGTCCATCACATGCGAGATGAAACGGTCACATTAAAATAGACAAAAATGTAAGCACTGATATTCAATTCTGGCTTATATTACGGAGCTTATTTACCGTCTTCAACGTATTCGTAGAATCGCTTGATGGTGAATGTATGAAATGTTGTGGTATAGAAATTTGAAATGTCAAGTCAAATATACACGAGCCAAACCAGCCTTCGACAATTCAAGTTGTTTGAAAGTATAGAATATATATTACTGTATAAAGTCTCCTAAAGACCCAGTGCTTGTTTACTACTAGAGAGCACACTAAAGCACTGGAAGGAAGTGGCGCATAAAGATGAAATGCTATACTGAGACAAGATACTGAGCTCATGTTACTTGTATTTCGAAAGTAAACCTAAAGAAATCCATGCATGCAACTCCATTTTCTTATTTTTATTGTTAACCACTAACTCATCGTGCCTCTCGATGCACTCTCCCCAGCACCATCAAAACCGTTGTGGCTTACGGCCCCATCTGTAAGTTTCGAATGGATTTACTTGGAGTGGGAGCGTCCAGATGTGCCTAACGGTCCAATCGACGGCTACAACGTAAGCCTTACTGGAAAGAATGTTTCATTTCAAGCAGTGACTACCGCTTTATCATACAATGTATCTCAACTGAGACCTGGAACGTTGTACAGTGTATCTGTGTATGCGTTCAACTATGGGTTCAACGATGTGAAACGAGGCCCTGGGGCGATGCTCGCAGCATCTACTTCAAGTGTTGGTGAGCACGGATGCCGTACTTATTTCACCGACTTGATTTGTGTTTAGCATCTGCGCGGTCTGTATTGATATGTGAGGTTTAACGTCCCAATGCCTGGCCTGTATGTAACGAGCCAGAAGAGTGGAGTGACATAAACTGACTGTTTAAAATCTTCAGTTAATTCTTTTCAGATCTGCAAGTACCAATGCAGAAAGAAATTCTACTAGCCTGTGGCTGCATTATTGCTGCGAATGTCTTAATGGTTGATTGATATGTGGGATTTAACGTCCCAAAACCACCATATGACTATGAGGGACGCCGTAGTGGAGGGCTTCGGAAATTTTGACTGCCAGGGGTATGCGAATGCCTTAAACGCCTCATCAAACGTGAGGAGTTAATTTTGGTGTCATTACGAGTAATAAAACAAGTTATCGTATATGAATGACCATATAACGCCATCACGACGAGACAAATATCGAGATAGATAAATGGAGAGGAAAGGTAGGGAGGTTCACCAAGCTCTGGCTTAGTTGGCTTCCCTACAATTGGGGTGGGGGAAAAGGGGAATGATAAGAAGGAAGGAGACAAAGGAAAAGAAGAACAGTAAGAAAAAGATGAATCGGATTGAGACAATATAAACATCATGGTCTCGCGATGTTCATTTATAAGCGATCGTGAATTCCGGTGGTCCTCAAGGAGTACAAGAGAGATTTCGTGGCCGTGCGAGTATGCGGGACTGCCGGCCAAAGTCCCAGGATCTTTTTTTTTGTGAGTGGTCTCCAATCCAGGCGACGAAGCTTGGCTTCCGCACCAAAATATTGAGTTCGGTATGATGGGCAATGGCATAGAATGTGCTCAATCGTACTTTAGCAGATGCAAATGTTGCATTCCGCACTGTTGGCGATTCCAAAGAGACACGAATACGCATTCTTAAAGGCCACGTCCAACCACATGCTCCACAGCAAAGTTTCAGCATGCCATGAGAGCCCGGGTGGCAAACGAAGGTGCAAACTTGTGTCGATCAAATACAGGCGCGCGTCGAAGAAACCCCGCGTATTCCATTGTGGACGCACGATATGACCAGCAAGTGATTGCAGTCGTCGCGCAGCGTTAGTTCTCAAGAGTGGTATGGGCATCCGCAAGTGTTAGTCAGAAGGCCCCGCCGCGGTGGTCTAGTGGCTAAGGTACTCGGCTGCTGACCCGCCCGCCACGGGATCGAATCTCGGCAGTGGAGGCTGCATTTTCGATAGAGGTCATAATGAAGTAGGCCCGTGTGCTCAAATTTGGGCGCACGTTAAAGAACCCTAGGTGGTCGAAATCACCTAAGTCATCCACTTTGGCGTCTCTCATAATCATATGGTGGTTTTGGGACGTTAGACCCCACATATCAATATCAATCATCTGTTGGTCATGAGATGATCGAGCAGCTTCATCGGCGTGGTCATTGCCGATAATTCTGCAGTGACTTGGTAACCACTGATATGAATAACACGTCCTTCCTAGAGCGCTCGGTGGTAGTCGTGCCTTAACTAATACACTGACTGTCCGTGCAATCCGTGCGGTAAAGCAAACCATAGTGTTTGTAAGGCTGGTGCTAAATATAACACATATGTGGTAGCAAACATTGCAGTAATATCACTTAGCTTGAAACACCTTACATATGCACCATTACTTGACATGTAGACCAAGTATGGTGCTGAAAAAAGGAGCGGTACTTTTCAAAAAAATTTTCCCACACAACGCCCAGATGACTTTCTGGAAAATTCAGAAGGCCCTCTCGTGACCAAAATGTTTGTCTTCGAAATATTGTAGCAATTTGCTGTTTTCAACACAGTAAATCAGCACGATTTCTTTCGAATGCATTGGAGATGGATGCCGAAATCGCTCGGGCGTTCGGCGTTGAATGTCCCATAATCAACTGATTGGTCATCGATGCACTCAGGGTAGAAGGACATCGGTTTGCGTGTAAATGCAACTGTTACGCACTTTTTTTGTGTGGTGATAGTCAAACATTTCTGACGAAGGTATGCCAATGCCAATGTTGCCGGCGTTTATATTTTTGTGCACTCGAGGCCATGGCACACCGGATGCCCAGATGCCTTTCTCGCCGGGCGCTTATAAGCCTTGGACGCCCACGGGCGTCCCTCAAGGCACCTGGCCTGAAGTGGTTCGTCCCTGGGAATAGTCACATTCGTGGAGATGGCAAATATCAAAAGGAATAACGCCATTTGGACATAATGGGGATCTCACTTGGGGGCCACATAACATGTCATTCTTGAATGACGTCATAAGAACACATCGTCACTTTGTTGTGGTGCAATATATTGTTGTATAAAGCAACTGTGTGACGTCAACATAACGTCACAAATCCCAAAATGCGTGACGTCCGCAAGAACTACTAGTGATGCCACGGTGGCGTCACATAACATGCCATCGCGTCATGAAGTCATCACATGACATCGCTTTGTCGTTGGCGGGCCCATCCCGGATGGAAGTGATGTGCCTAAAGCTCGCCATGCCCCGATCAAAGAGGCGCCACAAACCATCTTACGTGCCCAAGTGTTTCGTAGTGTGCCAAGGGAGGTTACTAAAAGTAAAGAGAAGACAATATCTTTGCCTTCGAGTCATCTCAGGTGAATGCATCCTAAAGGCCTCACCACACGCACGCACGCGTTGCAGCATGTCAGGGCGTGGCTTACTGACGCAACGTCGCACCTTCTGCCTATGGAGAGAGAGGGCGTGCAGCTTCGTGTAGCCGCACGCCCGCACTCTCCATAGAGAGGGCGCTGCGCTGCGACTTAAAACCATGTGCGACGTGCTGCAATCATATATGTAGTCAGCCTTTTTTCACTGAGAATAGTCGATGGCGAAATGCATCGTCTGTGAGGGAATCTGAGGTTTATTGTGGAGGTATCAAAATATTGTGAAGTATTGCCGCCATATGCTTGATTTCAGTAAATGGGGAGCACGTAATCACGTCATGACAGCTTCTTTCGTGTTGAGATGGCAAAAAAAGACAACATTGAGAAGGTCAGCTAAAGTGTAGCCGATTTCCTCTCTGTCATCGAGGGCTTGTGAATAGACTAGATCAGCACTTGACTTTTAATCAGCTTTGCGATATCTTTTGATTTCTATGTGTTTCATCAATAACTGTGCTTGTGTTACTTCTTAATCAGTTGTGTTCTTAACTATTTGTTCAATTTCATTTCCAGCAAAAGGTACACATGTTCTATTTCTTGTAATGGGTGTCGCTATGTTCGCCATTACAACCAGTGCTGTCGCTGCATTCTGTCTTTGGCCGCACGTTGCTTCAGGGATTGGGTAAGTATACGTTTTTATTAGTGAAATATGGACAGCGGATACTATCCACTCAAAGAAATAGGTGGCTACCGATAATTAATGAGGTTTGGAAAAAAGTTACAGCAAAACAATATTACCTCACATCTGAAAAGTCTTGACGTAAAATGACGTTTTGTCTACAGGGGCTGTTTTTATTGTAGGTAGTTCTTGGTATGGAAACCTAAGGGGCTTAACTATAACAATAATATTCCGGGTTTAACGTCCCAAAACAACCATATGAGTATAAGAGATGCTGTAGTGGAGAGCTTCAGGAATTTCGGCCACCTGAGGTTCTTTAACGTGCACCTTAGTCTAAGCACACGAGCATCGAGCAGTTGCGTCTCGATCGAAAATGCGGACGCTGTAGTCCAGATACGATCCTTCGACCTGCGGGTCAGCAGCCTAGTGCCTTAGTCACTAGAGCACTGTGGTGTGTAGGGGCTGAACTCACAAGACTTATTTTTCCGAAGTACGTTTTCCATTGGTCGCAGGCTTTGTGAATGACATGCCCGCATCGGGATTGGCAGGAGTAATCTCGTACGAAAAGTTTCACCGTGAGATGTCTCTCTGAATATATTTCGAGAACTTGTCTTCTAGGTTGCCCATGCTTGTATTACACATATTTACAGTAGAATAGAAGGTGACTGAGCACAGCTTTGCCGTGACATGTTGCATTCCAATTTGACAATTTTTTATGCTGGAATCCACCAAGGCTTTAGGGACATATTTTTGTCACGGATATGATGTCAAATTAGGGCTACAAGATGTGAAAGAGAAAAAACAAACATTTGAGTCAAAGCAATTTCCTGCCAGGCGACGAACTTCTGACTCCTTGGAAGGATGAAAAGCACCCGCTATTTTGCCGACTAAGGCGATTTCTGCGCTTCGTATGAAAGCGCCTTCTACAGGGCGTTTCTAGAAATGTGTCCAATATTGTTAAAAATCAGCAAAAGACACTATTTGCTCGCTGTCTTCACAGTTGCCTTATATATAGCGGTAGGCATCGGTAGGGTTGAATACATCATTTGCCACAGTAATTAGGACAAATAAATAAACTAACTTTTAATTTAGTAGAGCTAGGTAGTTGAGTTAAATGGGAGAATTGAAGTCCTGGATATGAAAAAAAAAAAACCGATAGCTGCTTTGAGATGTGGAAAAAGCGGCCTCTAGCAAAAATAACGAAATAATGATTTCTCCTAAGTTTTGCGGCGGAACCGCCAAAGCGTGTTCTTTTACATGTAACCACATATCTACAAATAATTATCTCGTCCTTTATAATTTTTCAGCCAAATATTCCGCCAATAATTTTGTCAATATACAGTTCTTCGTAAACATAACGAAGATCTGGGCTGGTTGGTAAATGTTCATCCAAAAGTATCATGAGTGCGAGTTAGCGCTTGACGTTTATGTAAGACACCAGATCAGACACCAGAAACGGAACTAACAACTCTTCTTTTATAAGTTTTCGCGAACTATGAAATAGAGAGATTTTGATCCACAATTATACTTCAACTCATGGTAAGTCACAAGCGTGTGCCTCACAAAATAAATGTTAGATACCAGTGAATACAAGTTGTTGCTCGACTTTTCTGGCATCTAGACTTTTTTGTGTGAACGTGTTTGTACGCCCAGTCTTTTAAAATGAAAATAATAGTTTGATTGTATTTTTAGGCTTGGGTCAC